CTACTACTACCGCTACTTCTACTGCTACTTCAGCTCCTGCTCCTGCGACTACTGCGGCTGGTGTTCCGAGGCATCCCCAGCGCCTCACGAGCCTGTCGTCGATGCGGGTCCTCTGAGTTTCGGGGGCCCTCTTGGCGAGTTTCCTGGTGCGAAAGCTTCACCGCGGAAACCGCAGCCCGTTAACGAACGTCCTTCGCCTTTGCATCTCCAAATTCGCGGGAGATGGCCGGCCTTGCAGCACAAAAAGCACAGGAAAGGATGTGAACGGGAATTTGAAGCAAGGGAGTTCCGACCCCACGATGCTGGCTTTAGGGTTTAGGCTTTTGGGAAACTGCATAGTCCACGCGCACACATTCTGCTTCTCGGCTGAGGGCCGAACCCACAAGTGATGCAACACACCAAAATGTGACCCGCGTCTACCTAAACCGAAATTATATGCCTACTCAGCCGAACGCACAAAACCGGAGAGCTAAGAGAAAGACGAGAGGGTTGGCAAGGTAGGCGCATTCTTGAAGTAATGTTTCGGTTCAAAAACATGGACGTTGCTCATGCATCAAAGCAGTACTTGTCTCATAGAACAGACCAGCCACCATCGAGCACGCATACGCAACTTCCGTTCCTACGCCCTTTCTCACCCTTCCCACGTTGTATTTATGGAGAGAGGCTTGCAGCAAGGTGCCATGAGGCGTGGTCGTTGAACTGATGTCGGCGTGCAGCTTCCTGGTCGCAGTCGGCTGTAACACTGCAGAGATACGCAGGACAGTCGCGCAGTCGCCGCGAACGCTCCAACGACGAAGCGGTCGATTGTGCGCAGGGACCCAAGCCACATCACCACATGTCTCTAGGTGGCTGCTCCAATTCCTTTGTAGGCGTGAACTCAACCCGAGGTGTGTGCCCTTGCCGCTGCGATCGCAGTGGTTGTAGCCTCAATCAGGGCGCTCGCTGGACAATGGAGACGGGATAGTACAAGATCAGCTTGCATGCCTGAGCCTTCTGTGAATCTGTCACATGCTTGGTGTGTTTCTGCTGATGGCGAGGCTTCACACATGGTTTGCCATGCTCACGGAGGAGCTTCGAGTCGTGCCTTTGCAGGCACTGCATGGCATGCCTGCTCTCGTGAAGTCGTTGTTGTTGAGGAAAGTCGCACCGTGTAGCAACAGAACTGTGTTTCACTTGTCTTGCTCGAGGGGAACTGACCTTCCGACCGTGTGGGTTCAAAACGCTGACGTACTAAGAGTCATGCGCCTGTCTCCTTGCAAGCCTCGCCTGGACTCGTCCGAGCGCGAGGGTCAAAAGCCTGTTGAGCCCAGCAGCACGGAGACATCAAACCATCTTTGACAGCGTTATAGAGGTGTGGCAGAGGTGCAGGCAGCGAATATATGTATGTATACATGTGTATAAGTATGCATACGTATATGTATATATAATCATACATGCATACATCGTGATTGTCGTTAGGAACAATGTCAGCGACGATCGTCACTGGGAGAGTCTCGCAGATGAAGGAGACCATGGTAAGCGGGAGGGATTCGTGACCGGTCCACCTATACTATTTCGGGGGTTCCTTACTATAATTATAGTATCGTGGACCCCAAAGCCCTATTCTAATTCTCAAGGCCCCTACATTACTGTACCCCGTGCATGTTTTTCCGCTTTCCTGCGGTGACTTTCAGAAGGCACTGGTGGTGGCAGAGCTTCATCGAAGCTTGCACTGGTAGGCCCGGCTTGTCGAGCCGCCGGGATCAAGTTGGCATGTCAGAGTGTGTAAGTGAGGGTACAGGGCTCCTTTGAAAGGGTTCTCCTATAGTACTCGTAGGCCTTCGCATGTGACACCTGATGTCAGTTGCCACGCCGATCTGTGTTGGGAGTGCATCAGCTTATTGGCATTCCATTGGAGGTCTGCGACCTGCGAGAACGATGTGTAAGGGCATTTTCGATGTCATGCGCTCAGTGGAGAAGTGTCAGCTGCAGCCAGCTCGCCCTGCAGTGCGACTATGCTCCGCTAGGCGGTGGAGCACAACCTATAGCCAAAACCATAAGCATAGAATTAATAAAATTCAAAACAGCAGGTCCTGACCCTTTGCTGGGTAGAATCGCACTCCATTATGCTACATGGTTCGTATGTGCATATGGTATACATGATCGCAGAACCATGTTCGAGTTTTATGGGGGTCCCCAATACTAAACTACTATAGCAGGACCCCTGCAGATCCCGTTGAAAGGAATCCCTGCCCCAATTGTTGAGGCCCTCTGAACCCCTTAGCTGGCAGGCGAAAGGGTCTAATACAGGGGGCAGGGGCCTTAATGATTATCTGCAATATTTTGGAGGATCCTTCATATAGTTATGGTATAATGGGCCCCCAAACCCTACTCTAATTATTAAGGCCCCTAGATAACTGCAAAGTACCGGTCGTTGTGAACTTACTAGCTGCCGGAGGGCAAGAGGGCTTAATCTGGGCTCTTGTTAAGGGAGTTAACTTAAGTTACCACAATAAAGAAGCCATATTCTTTACCATAGATCCCTATTATGGTAACTTAAGTTAAATCCTTTCACAAGAACCCAGGTAAGGGTACTAGGGTTTAGGCTTCAGAGCTAGAGCGTTTAAGGGCTGTGGGGTAGGATAGCTATCTCTGGCAGCAAGGGGTCCCAGCTGCAAAAGGCAAAACATGGCATGGTTTAGGTTTTAGGGAGAGTTTTCCAGCAGTTCCAGTATTCGTCAAGATTCCTGGCAAGGATCGCATCTTATTTAAAGGAAGATCGATGTTCCCCAAACCGTATACGCCGCTAAACCTTCAATTGCACCCAAGAACGCGAAATACCCCCCAAACACTAAACCCTTAAACCCCTCAAGCCCTCAACCTCGCCTGGATTGTCCGAGTTGTGAGAGTGTCAACCGCTCAACACGTAAACCCCTAAATTTCCCAAACCCCAATGCCTCAAATCCTCATAGAACCCTTTCAGTCGCTCTTGTTGCGACCCTTAGCAAACCCTGCTGCAACCACGCTACTCTAGACGTAAACCCGAAGCCCCTAAACCGTAAACCCTAAAACCCTAAACCGGTGAATATGCCTGCCCTTGGCCAATGTGCT